TACCGTCCTGCTGATGTCTCTCTCCGATCTTCGCACTGTCCTCCTGACGTCCCTCTCCGGTCTCGGTACCGTCCTCCCCTGCTGACGTCCCTCTCCGGTCTCCGTACCGTCCTCCTGACGTTCCTCTCCGATCTCGGTACCGTCCTTCTGACGTCTCTTATCAGTCTCGGTGCTGTCCTCCTGGCGTCTTTCTCCGGTCTCGGTGCTGTCCTCCCGACGTCTCTCTCCGGTTTCCGTACTGTCCTCCTGACGTCTCTCCCCGATCTCGGTACCGCCCTTCTGACGTCTCTCTTCGGTCTCAGTGCTGTCCTCCTGACGTCTCTCTCCGGTGTCCGTGCTGTCCTCCTGACATCTTTCTCTGGTCTCCGTACCATCCTCCTGACGTCTCTCTCAGATCTCGTCCCACCCTCCTGACGTCTCCGTCCGCTCATCCCACAGATTCTGGCGCCGTGGCGAATGCCAGAGTTCTACAACAGGTTCCAGGGGCGCACCGACCTCTTCGAGTACGCCAAGCAGAACGGCATCCCACTGCCCGTCACACCTAAACAGCCGTGGTCGATGGACGCCAACCTCCTCCACATCAGGTCAGTGGGTCAGATCATATCAGGGTAGCTGGGTCCGTGTCAGGTCAGCTTTCCAGGCGATCACAGAAAGGCTTCTGCTGAGTGAATGCCTCGACTGTTCGTGGCATAAGAATAATCGTGAGGCTGTGTATCGAGGGTTGCAGCAGCTGAGGACGTTATGTCACGATGACTCGAGCGTCGGCGGTCGCGATGAGCCAGCCAAACGTCTGGTCACTGTACAGTAAACATTCAGTGCATCAGTATATCTCGGGCGGAATTGATGAGGTAACCCGAGCGTATGCCAAGCTGTCCTGCGGCGTGAACTGAAGGACAGTGGAACAATGTTGTCAAAGGAGTTTATTCTTTTTTTCACGCATTGCTGTCCATATTGTGCTCGGCATTGCTATTTTTGGTCTCCACCCGGTGTTTTGTTTGGATGAAAGACCTTTTCATTTGTTTTCATTGGCTTTAGTGTTGCGTAGACGTCTACAACACGGGAAACGGACGTTACTGAATTCAGAGGAAAATCAGCCATGGCAATGAATATGATCGATCTCCACTACGTCAGAAAGCAATGACCAACGGAGAAGAACAAAACCCAACGCACTTTGACAGATGCCTCAGCCGAAAGAGATGGCCAACAGCCAAATTGAGTTCCTATAATGTTTCTTATAACCCGATATATACATGCCTGCCGTGCGCGTGACCTGTTCCCCGGCGTCCGGCCGGCAGCTACGAGTCTGGCGTGCTGGAGAAGCCGAGCACGCCGGCGCCGGCCGACCTTTACCAGATGACCTGCGACCCGGAGAAGGCGCCCGACGCGCCGCACCAGCTCAGCGTCCGCTTCGAGCACGGTCAGCCGTCGGGGGGCGTCGGGTTCGGGAGAGGTGCTCGGCACCAGGTCGGGTGGGGTTCGTGCGCGGGGACAAAGGACATCTCAAATGTGCCGTGAAATTCCGCGTGGGATTTTAAGACGACTGACACAGTCCGTCTTCTCTTGTGTACGGGAGCCCGGCAGGTAACTGACAAGAACATTGCGGTCAAATGTTTATGAAATGTGCACGAGAGACATTGCAACGTAATATCTATCGTAGGAATGTGGGGACATCCGCGCCTCGTCCTGTGGCGCCACTATCCAGCATGAGCGTGATGTCACGAGCCTGACCGGACCACATCACCAGGCGTGCCGGTGTGCGTGACCGACCACACGACGGGCACCGAGTACACCGAGCCGCGCCAGATGCTGGAGTACCTGAACACGGTCGGCGGCCAGCACGGCGTCGGCCGGATCGACATAGTCGAGAACAGATTCGTCGGGCTCAAGGTCAGCCCAGCTTGGGTGTCGACGAGTCAGGCGGGAGGCGTCGGCCTGGGGGGGGGGGGGGGGGGGAAGGGGACACCTTAAACGCCAGGTCGGGTATGCCCGGCACCACATATGTTGGTCCGTCCGAGGTTGACGATCTTTGGGGGTGGAGGTCACAGGTACGTCGGCGTCACGGACTGTTACACTGACACCAGACGTCCGGGTGTGAATACATTGTATGTTACGAGCGTATCATGGCTTTTAAAGCGAATGCAAGGTTTGGGTGGTAAACATATGGGAGGAGACGCCCTCTTTTCCGGATGCGTCAAATTTCAGAGAAGCGGAGTTTAAGTGTCCAGTTGGCGGAGTCCTATCTCCTGGGCATATCTGTTTGCAGAGTCGCGGAGTTTGCGAGTGAGAGGGTACGCGGGTGCCGACATCCCCGATAACGGGCCCATCTGTCGACAGAGCCGCGGCGTTTACGAGTGTCCGGGCGGTGAGATCCTGTACCAGGCTCACCTGGACCTGGAGACGTTCACCATGGACCGGGAGGTGCTCCACTTCAAGGAGGATCTGGCGTCCAAGCTGGCCAAGCTCGTCTACTGCGGTGAGGGTGGGCGCCACCGCAGAACGACGCACGTGGTAGATGTCAGCAAACATGTCGCACAAACGTCATCGCAGTCGCCATATGTGATTATACCGCAGTTCTGCGATAAAGCATCTGCACTGTGTGGTATCTGAGTTATCAAGGTTTTCCTACATACATTTTTTTACTTCCTACATTTTTTACTTCCTAGCAAACGGAACGTAATATGCTTATATGCTAATGCTCACTATGCTAATGCTCACTCACTATGCTTTCTCAAGTGATTACAGAAATATTTGTGGAGCGTTTCATCGCGCCACGTTAGTCCTAACATCAACACGTCCCACTGACAAACACAGCGCTCGCGTGCCCCAGCCGTGTCAGTGGCCACTTGTTAGCTAATCAGAATTCCCACGTCCGTGTTGACTCAAGATTTCATCGAGACAGGTTTTCTCCATCGGACTGTCCTCCATCGGACTGTCTGGGACGTCGGACGACCCAGTCACGTCCCTCCCAGCTGCGGCGGGGCGCCCCCTGTCGGCCGGTCCGGCTCGCGTTGTATACCCAAGCATCGCTTAGCACCGCGTGGTTTGTACCCTGGACGTGTGACCAGCTGTCGCCCGTGACCATGACAACCCCAGCCAATGGGGCGTCCGCGAGCAGGACAGCCCCGGCCAGCGGGGCGCCCGTGACCACTAACAGCCCCGGCCAACGGGGCACCCGTGACCAGGACAGCCCCGGCCAGCGGGGCGCCCGTGACCGACGGTCGCGTCGTCCGCGGTCGCTGACGGAAGCGACGGCTCTGTTTGCCGGCAGGGTTCTGGTTCAGCCCCGAAGGCCTCTATCTGTTTGACTGTGTGCGGGCCTCCCAGACGTCGGTCACCGGCACCGTCCGCTGCAAACTCTACAAGGGCTCAGGTCAGAGGGCGGTGACGACCCGTTCGCCGACCCAGAGAACGCGGTTCGGTAGTTCAGAACGCCGTAGTTTTAACGAACTTTTCTCTCGTGCATTTTCATGTAAGTTCTCTCTGCGATGTAGTCACGGCTGTCGAGGTGAGCATAATGAAAGATAAATGAAAAACTAGTGAGTGAAGAATGAGATATCGGTCTGCTGGCGAACACATCGCCATCCACCGGATGACATGTAATACTTACAAAACGCTTAGAACAGGCCGCGGCGGAGCCGCCGTCACAGAAATGGGCTTCTTGGAATCTTCATGTTGGGCAACCAGAGCCGATCAGGTTTCTTGGTTGCTTCGCAAGCCCGCACATTTCGCTTCGTCGGCACTGCTTCAGCACGGCTACCGTGCCGTGCGCCTCACACGAGCGAGCAGCTGCACATGGGCCCAGCGCCCCGACCGTGGCGGACGGCCTCTGACCCGTGTCTGCGCCACACCCCAGCCGTACTGCGCTGTTCCAGTGCAAATCCTGAGCCGGGACGCGCCGGTCAGCCTGTACAACGAGCAGCTGGTGTCGATGGACGTGCAGGGCGACTACGACCCAAAGGACGCCGAGGGCTTCATCCTCATCAACGGCATCCGGCTGCGTGAGCATCACCGCATCAGCGGCGCCCAGTGAGCGGGCGCCGGCGGCGGGCGCGGCCGCGGCGAGTGCGGGAATACACGAGGCGTTCTCTAGCGGTGCCGGCGTTTGAGGCGGTGCGAGCGGCCGATCGGCCGCGCCGGCAGGCAGACCGGCGGCGCGCGCGGATGGAGTGGAGGTGGGACTGGCCTGCGCGGTGAGGGTCGTGACCGAGCCGGCAGCGACCCCTCCCCGGCCGCGACGGCAGCACGACGCTGGGGTACGCTGTCTGAGACACCCAGCATGGACATGGCATTACTGAACCCCACGCCGGGCATGGACGAGTCCGCTGTTGAGACGCTCGTGTCGACGAGCCGTGGGAGAAAGCGCGGACCCGCCAGACACGAGTGTTTGCGAGCGCTGCACGTCACGCACACGATTTCATATTGGACGGCAGACTTTGTCGAAGGTATCCGTAGCGAAGACTGAACGTTCGCCTACCCGCTGCCGGCGCAGACGCCCCATGCAGCCGCAGCGACGGCCATGAGCACAACACACGTACAAGTATCGCATGTCAATATGTTTCGTAACATTATCGAGCCAACAGTCTGCTGGATGGTGACAAAAAAGCAGTATCGACGCAGTTTCCAGCGTTTATTGATAAAGATACAGCGCAGTGCAGTCTCTGCTCTGATCGCAGCGCTGTTTTGTTAGGCGTAAGCACGTAGGCATTCGAGTTACACACTGACGTACGATGGATGCACACTACTGGCGAAGCCACACAGTATTATACAGACCACGGCTGGCTACATACACTAGAGTGAAGCGAGCCCGGCCAACTCCCAGATCATGTGCCGCACAATAACGTTCTGGTCGGCCGCGCGGGCCAGCCTGGACAGCATCAACAAGGTCTCACCGCTGCCTCTGCGCCCACGCGCCAGAGGCGGGCCGGCTTTGTACAGGTGCGGCAAGATCCGCTCTCGCCCGGCGGCGCTGCCTCGACTGGCCGAGGTGGCGACGCCGGCCCTCACCGCTGGCACTGTGGAGACAGCAGGGGTGGCGGGTCATGGGCGGCCGGCTACGGCGCGGCCGGAGCGCGGCCAAGTCGCACGTCCCGGACCTGACGCGACCCGAGCAGGCGGGTGTGGCCCAGCAGACGTCTCCGTGAGCCAGCAGACGTCTCCGTGACCCAGCAAACGCCTCCGTGACACAGCATACGTCTCCGTGACCCAGCAGACGCCCCTGTGACCCAGATGCCTATCCGCACCGGGTCCCCGATGAGCCCGGGCGACACATGCAGCTACTAGTCATTGAACGACCCCTTGTAAATCAGAATGGATGGAAGGCCACGCTGAAGATTGCGACTTCCGTTATTACACTCAACAGCGCAGACTTTGGTGTTTGTGGAGGAACCCATATTTGCATTTGCGAATAAACCAGTGAGGACCATGAGGCAGGGGGTGGGGTTTATAAACCAACTGACCGGAACCAAGGCTCCGAGGTCTCGTTTTCAGAAGGGGGAAGCGGGAACTACGAACCAACATTGGGAACCACGTACATATCTGTCCAGCACCAGAACTGACGCAACGAACTGAACTCGCAATACGCAGGGAATTTCCGTGGGTATACATAAGTTAGCAGGGCACTCACAGCATGTGGACGTTTTGACCGTTAAACTTCTTTCAGTCTGACTTGTCTCTGTTAACTTTCGTCCCATGCAGCCTTTTCCAGTTCGACTGGGGCATTTTTTACTTTTCCAATTTTGTTCCGGTAGACTTTCAAGCCATTTTACTTTTTTCCCCATGACCTTTATCCCATCGATGATTATCGCTTACGACCATTTTCGTTCGATTTTTTTGTGCACAAGTCCTGACACCCGTCATATGTTCTTGAGAGGCTAGATTCTCTAGGGCGCACACCAGACACCGACAGCCGGTCAGGTACGGGCCCGGAGGAGCGCACCCACCCACCTGACACCGACAGCCCGTCAGGTACGGACTCCGGAGGAGCGCACCCACCCACCTGACACCGACAGCCGGTCAAGTATGGGTCCGGAGGAGCACACCCACCCACCTGACACCGACAGCCTGTCAGGTATGGGTTCGGAGGAGCACACCCACCCACCTGACACCGACAGCCGGTCAGGTACGGGCCGGGAGGAGCACATCCACCCACCTGACACCGACAGCCGGTCAGGTACGAGCCCGGAGGAGCACACCCACCCACCTGACACCGACAGCCAGTCAGGTACAGGCCGGGAGGAGCACATCCACCCACCTGACACCGACAGCCGGTCAGGTACGGGCCGGGAGGAGCACACCCACCCACCTGACACCGACAGCCTGTCAGGTATGGGTTCGGAGGAGCACATCCACCCACCTGACACCGACAGCCGGTCAGGTACGGGTCGCTGAGCAGCTCGTCGATGCTCGGCCGCCGGTACGGGTCCCGCTGTAGGCAGCTCCTCAGCACGGTCAGCAGGTGACAGTCTGACAGCGGACCGAACTCGATGCTGTGCTTCGGGTTGATGATCGCCATCAGCTTGCCCATAACCTGCGGCGGACACAGCGTTACCAGCGTCACGTGACATCTGAGGCGCCGCCGCCGCAGCCGAGGGTCGACGCGGACGTCTCGTGTTTGGCTGGGTGCGGCGGCCGGTCCCGCACCGCGGTCACGTCCGCTCCTCTGGCGCCCGTTCGACACGTGACAGCATAGACAGATACCAGAGCCCCGTTTGTAAACTGAGGGTCGCAAATAGACAGGCAGGCGGCGAAATGGCTCCAGTCACTTCCAAATTGACAGGACGCTCGCGAGCACCACGTGGCCAGGTCAGCGATTTGACCTCGACCTGAGCACCTTGAGGCGCGACAAATACGAAGTTGCCGCGCAAATAATTCCACACTGGCAATGGCGCCGCTGCCTTCGCTGCGGAGCCACCATGATGGCGTGACGTCACGATCGTCTGACTGGCAAGTCGTTTGCGGCAGAAGACTCCGTCCACTCAGCCCTTGATCGCGACGTCGCACGGCAAGCCGGCCAGACACCGGACGCCGGCCACTGGCAGGCGCCAGCCGCCTCGCTGACCGGCGCCGGGTGGAGCAGTTCACAAACGAGGCCGAACTGTTGGTCTGGTGAGGACCGCGACTGTTGGTCTGGTGAGGACCGCGAACCACCCGGCAATATGTGGCGGCTAAGGTCCGCAGTATGTTGATCGTATAGGCTGGGTGAGGGGTGGACTGGTACAGGGGCGAGACCTGCGCTCCGGGAGAACGCGCGCAAAGGCAGGGGGGAGGGGCAGATGAGCACAATGCGCAGCCGGCCTCACCTGCTTGATGTTGCCGAACGGCGTGATGCCGTACACGAAGTTGTACAGGATGCAGCCGAGGCTCCACACATCTGAGCGGCGACTGATCTGCGGACCGCCGGAGCACGCCCGTGAGACGTGAGGACGGACATCACGGCCGTGAGACGTGAGGACGGACATCACGCTCGTGAGACGTGAGGACGGACATCACGCCCGTGAGACGTGAGGACGGACATCACGCTCGTGAGACGTGAGGACGGACATCACGCCCGTGAGACGTGAGGATGGACATCACGCCCGTGAGACGTCAAGACGGACATCACGCTCGTAACACGTGAGGACGGACATGACGCCCGTGAGACGTGAGGATGGACATCACGCCCGTGAGACGTTAAAACGGACATCACGCTCGTAAGACGTAAGGACGGACATCACGCCCGTGAGACGTGAGGATAGACATCACGCCCGTGAGACGTTAAGACGGACATCACGCCCGTGAGACGTGAGGATAGACATCACGCCCGTGAGACGTGAAGGGTGATACCACTTCCGGGAGACGTGAGGACGGACATCACGCCAATAAGATAAAAGGACAGATATCACGCCCGCCCATCGTTTCACGCCCATGGGAAGTAAGAATATGATGTCCACGCTCCCACGACACGACATTGGTGCTACGGCAAAACCTCCTGCCGGCAGACTTGCTAAATCAGTTATACGCGACATCGCATCTACTGCAAAAACTTATACAAACTTTACTTATACGCGGCATTACGTCTACTGCAGACTTATGCACGGCATGAGCGCCACACGATACAATTTGTGTTTCAAAAGCTTATACATGTCATTATTTACTGCAAAAGTTTGTCTTTATTGATACGCATCATTATTTCTACTGCAAAAACTCATACACGACATGAGTGCCATACGACAAAACTTGTGCTGCAAGAGTTTATACTCGTCATCATTATACAACAGACTTGTCCACAGGTTTTCGCTGTAGCACTTGTCACGTATAAGCTTTTCAATAGAAAGCAATGCCGTTCATATGCAAAGGCTGGATACGTTTTTGCGGAAGAGGTAATGTCGGGTATAAGTTCTTGAAGGATGAGTTTTGTCATCCAGCGATAATGTCGCGTATAAGTTTTTGCGATAGAAGTAATGTATATAAGTAATGACTGCACAAGTAATGACGAGTATAAGTTTTCCCAGCACGAACTTTGTGGGTATAAGCATTGCTAGTAGAAATTATGTCGTAGCACTGCTGGCGCTAGGAGTTTTTGTTGTAGCGCTAATGTCGCGGAGCCCGTTCCCACGCCCCTGAGATACGCGGACAGACCGTCTGTGGCGCTCCTCAGTCTATAAGACGTAGGAGCCTGACGTTCATGATGTCATCCTAGCCATGCCACATGTCCCGCCTGCGTGACGCGAGGGCGGGCATTCCGAGTACTCCCCCATTGCAACACGTCTCCGACCAGAGCACCATAACTCGCCCGGTCAGCACGCCCGCATCGCAAGCGAGGGACAGCCCAGCGTAAATCCCGGGTACTCGGAAAGCCTCGCGGTGGTCTGTGGGCAGCACCGTCAGCGAGACTGCACACGAGACGTGACGTGCCTCGTAGCTTGAACACATAAACACCGCGCGGGCACGTGACGCGAGCGGGGCGCGGAGCGGCGGCACGCACCTTGATGGCGGTCTGGGAGGAGCCGTTACGGGTGACCTGCTGCGCCTCGATCGCCTCGGGGCTCATGTAGTTGAAGGTGCCGACCTGCGGGCGGGATACGACAGCCGGTGAACATCGGAAGCCCAAGGTCACCTTGAGCGCATGAACGGCACAGGGTGAGCGGTGTATCTCGCCGGTGCTGTGACGGAGCCTGAATTACCGACCAATACATCGATATTGCCACTGTTTGGCACGGTGCAACCGACTGCCGCATGACAGCGTGACTCGCCAGTGCTTTGCAGTAACGCAGTGTATCGTCACGAACAAGGCTCACTCATTTGTTGTTATGGCGGTCATATCGCCAATGATCATGCATCAGGTTGTGTACCAAAAAATTGAGCGGCCTTTTAACTGTGTGGAAAATACATGCCTCTGCAATCCACAATTTGACTTCTTTGGCATATGCAGAGCCTCGCATAGATGAGGAAAGATTAAAAAGCACACTGCAAAACAAAACTGCTCACACAGAATGACCAGACTTTTAGTCCCGATGACTCTCCAGCTCTCTTTCGAGGTCATTATGGAGAAGATCTTCATCACTGGGAGAAGAAATCCGCCTTCAACCCCAGCGGCCATCCGTGTCCGTAAAGCATGCAGCTTTCTCCCCAGTCTATTCATCCCCGACGAAGCGCTCCCATCGGCATTCCTCCTGCTGTGTACACATTCGTGTGCTGCTGACGACGCGTCCCCCTGCGAACATCTGGTGTATGATCCCATCTTGTCCTTAACGATACCGCCTGGCCTGCGCTTCCTGACCAGTGGCTCTCCAGCTGTCCGTGCTGACCTTGGACCGGGGCTCCTCTGAACATTCCAACCCACCCCTGATGTCACCTGACCAAGGGTTCCCCGAAGGTTCCCACTCGGCCCTGATGTGACCTGACCAGGGGTCCCCTGAACGTTTTCACCCACCGCTGATGTCACCTGGCCTGGGCCTCCCGCGAATGACCCCGTCTCTGCCACCGTCTCACCTGGGTGTCCTTGATAATGCTAGTGCAGTCGGACTGGATCTGCGAGGCGATGCCGAAGTCGATGAGCTTTAGCCGGCCGGCCACCATGAGGAAGTTGGACGGCTTCAGGTCCGAGTGGATGATGCCTGCCGAGATACCGGGCCGGTCTGTCGCGGCTCTGACGCACCGGACACAACCACACCCAACACACACTCGCACAGGGGTCACGTGACGGCTTTGAGAAGTAAGCTCCATGTGTAATTTGCAGAATCCAAAGTACGCACGAAAGCTTGGCGTGAGGTTAAACTTTGCCTTGAAATACTGGCTTCAGACTGGCAACACGGACAAATTGCCGACCGGAACCGGACAACGACGCCCGTCCAGCCACGGCCAGGCACCAATACCGGCACGCTGACAACGATGGCCAGATCCGAGCACCACCCTCTCACGGAGGTCAGACACGACTCGACTCAACACTCCACATTACAGTGCAACGGGGCCAACCAACACGATTGAGACACAGACCCCGGTCGGTGTCCAACAACCGCCAAAACAAGCGCAGAGCTAGCAGAGGAGTGCGGTCAAAGCGGACGACCCACGAAAGATACGAAAGATACAGAAAAGCGAGACTGAAACTGATGATGAGGATGATAATGATTTGGGGTTTCAGGGCGCATCGACTGCTGTAGGTCATGCAGCGCCCAGGACTGAAACTGATCCACGCGCATGTCCGAAGCCATACCGGAGAGACGAACGGGCCCTCAATCACGACGTGAGAAATGACTGTTCCACTGATGGGCACATCGAAACAGAAAACGACCAGTTGGACATGGTACTAATGTCTTTCTTCAGCTTGCGCATACCGTCGCCCCCCACTGGCAACATCACTCGCTAACCGGCACCTCGCTTTCTATGGTTGCAATCACTGGCTTCGTGAATGAATGGGTGCACGCCTTCGTGTGGCGCTAAATGCGGATATTTTTTGTCAGTGTACTGACTGGGTGTAAGCAAATGGTCATTGTGTGGACGCATCATACAAAATGAAGACGGACATGGGCGTGAACACGTGCTTACTAACTAACCAATGCAACACAAAGCAACCTCAACTCCCAACGAAAATCGCCCAGCCAGCATTGTTGCTTTCATCAGACCAACATCTCACGTAAACGCCGCTATTCCCGCAGCCCGCTAAACTCGCACCCCTCGTAGCTCGTAATCCAGCACCCTTCCAAGCAACGCGCCGCGAGCGACGCACCTTCCTTGTGTATCACGTCAACACAGCGCAGCATCTCGCCCCAGAAGAACTTGCACATGTTGGCGTCCACCTCGTTGAGCTTGGTGTAGGAGCGGAGCAGGGCTGTCAGGTCCGTGTCGCCCTTCTCCATCACGATGTAGAGCATATGTCGGTCCTCGCGGTGCTCGCTGCCGGCAAGAGATCAGCCAGAGGTCAGCCGGGGGTCAGCCGGACGTCGGCCGGGGTTCCGCTGAGGGTCAGCCGGGGTTCAGCGGGGGCCAGCCGGGGGTCAGCGGAGCCATCGCAGGGCTAAGAAGCACGGCCCGGCGGCCTCTGAGCCCAAATACACTAGTAGAGACGTCCTTTAAAATCCCGGTTCTACGCCACCCTGAGTCGACCTTCTATTGCCATAGGAATAGCAGAGATACATCTTACTTTATGCACTTCCAAGCTAGGTTCCGTAACATAATGAATACTGTCGAATATAAACGCCGCCATTGTGTAAACTGTCAGCAAGCTATGCCAGTTGGTCGGAACAGCAACAAGCCCAAAATCCGCATCGGAGCAGTCCCGCAGTGCGGCTGCGCCCTGCCGACACAGGTCAGTCCATGGTGTGGCGGCCGCACCGCCGCCCGTCCCCGTCTCCCACACCACCTGCGGACCGGCTGTCCTCACCGCCAGCCAGCGCCATCTGGCGGTCGACTCAAGAGATTGGCCTTCGACCGACAGCCGGTTTTGAGATGATAGCCCACTCGCGCTGCGCGGAGTAGCGTACATGTAAACCGAGACGTCACCTCGCGCTGCTGTCACTTCAAAACTTGAGCAGCATTATCTGTCATTCCAGGGTTGCGGTACCCCCCCCCCCCCCCCCCCCAGGTTCTACCAAGCCGAGCGTCTTGAGTGTTATCCGCCCTCTCTATTACCCTCATCCCATCCCATCCCGTTGTATGCTGCTCCAGCTCATCTGTGTAGCGTCGCAGCGTCCGGGCTGCGATGACGAGAACGGAAGGAGAGCTGGGAAAGGGGGGGGGGGTATCCGACCGGACCTCTGCGGCGGCGTCAGCGCCGGCGATGCCGGGAGGCGGGACACCCACCAGTCGAACAGGCGGACCACGCGGTCCGAGTGCTGCAGCGTCCGCAGCAGCGCGATCTCGTTCTTGTAGCCGCTGGCCGTGGCGTCGTCGGCGCTCTCCAGGAACACCTGCTTGATGGCCAGCGAGCGCATGTCGCTGTCGAACACCTGCGGCGGGGCGGACGGCGGCGGGGACGTCAGCGGCGCGGGGGCGACACCAGCGGGGGCCGCAGGTGGCGTCAGCGCCCGGGAGCGCCGACGGAGCCTTGGCCGCGTCGGATGCCTAAGTTCAGCCACGACCGACGTCAGAGAAGCCGCATACATGTGGAACTAACCCACCAGAGATGGGAGAGTGTGGAGCGGACCGGAGGAAAGAGGGAGCGCCCCAGATGACGGCAATACCGCCTGTGATCGAGCCCTCCAACTCGTTTATCGTACGGCAAGTTACGTCTCTGTGTCCCCCCCCGCGCCTCACTGAAACGGCACGCATATATATATATATATATATATATATATATATATATATATATATATATATATATAGACATAGATATAGACATATAGATATAGATATAGATATAGATATATCTATCTATCTATCTATCTATCTATCTATCTATCTATCTATATATATATATATATATATATATATATATATCCAGTGACAATACTTCACCTGGTAGACTTTGCTGGAGCCACCGCGGCCGATCTGCTTCATGACGATGTAGTCCTTGCCATTGACGGTCAGAGTGCGCAGCTGTCGTTTGCCGAAGAACAGCTCGGTGGGCGGCGGCGGCATGGCCGCAGCCGCGTCCTCCGTCTGAGTACCGGTCTCCACCGGCACCGGCCGACCGACCGCCAGCGGGACGCGTGCCGAGCCCGGGCCGGCGGACCCGGCTGGCGCTCTCACGGGCACCACTGCCGCCCGAGCGCCGGCTGCCGAGCGTGGCGCCGACCCGGTGGGCGCCGGGGTCACCGCCACCGACCCGGAGGCGGGCGGGGCGGGCCGGGGCGCGGCCAGTGCCCGCCGCGGGGTCGCCAGGCCGGGCACCGGCGCGGCCGTGGCGGCTACAGCGGCCACGGGAGCGGGTGCTGGGGGTTGCCGCGGGCGCCGGCGGTGTTCTGACTGGCGCCGGGGGCAGTGCGACCGGTCGCGCGGTCACCGCAGTGGGTCCGGGCGCCGGCACGCCCACCGCGGCCATCAGCGAGCTGGGTCTTGGCGGCGGCGCAGCGGCGAGCGGTCCGCCCACAGGCCGCCGCGCACTGCTCTCTCGGCTGGGCTGCGGCGCGGGGTCCGCCCAACCGTTCTGGCCAGAGACCACGGGCTGGGACGGCGCCGCGTTGGTGCGGCTGCTCCCCCCGGACGGAGCCGGCGGCTGTTGCGCGTGACTCAGCCGACTGCCCGGGGCCGTCACCGCCGACCACTGCGAGCCTGGCCCCACACGAGTTCCCTGCGTCGCGGCACTAGCACCGACACCGGCTCGGGAGCCGGCGCTGGCGGCCATCGAATGTTGCAGCACGTAACTGGCGCGGCCGTCCGGAGCCGGGGCCGAGAATGGGGCCGGCGTACCCCGCGCCCCGGGCCCGGCACGAGACTCCTGCGCACTGGCGTCGGTTTGCCCGTCAGGACCGACGGCCGTCCGATGCAGGGCGGGACGAGACGCTGCCTCGGCACCGGGCCGGGCAGCCGCGTTGGCCGCCGTCGTCACTGCCGTTGTCGTCGCCGACATCGTTGGTGAGCTACGCGCGGCAGGGCCGACCGACGGCGCCGAGGCTGGCAGCGCAGCGCGCGGCAGCATCTGGTCTGGTGGCGTGAGCACGGCGTCGTGGAGGGAGGCCGCTTCGGGTGGCGTGCCGGCAGCTGCCGCCGCCGCCGCCGCCGGCCCGTCGGGGCACTCGGGCACAGCGCGGAGCCGCGGCGGCACCGGTCGGCCTGGCAGCCAGCCCTCGGACAGGACGCGGCTCAGGCCCGCCCCGGACCGCTCGCCCGGCAGCGACGCCTGCGAGCGCGCGTGCGTCAGCGGCTGCCGCTTCTCGCCGCCGCTGCCGCCGCCGTCGCCGAACAGGAACGGCCGCTTGACAGCGCTGGCGGCCGGCGGCGGCGGCGGCGGCGCCGCCTCCTTGTACGGCGTGTCGAGCACTCCGAGCGGCTGGCGCGGCGTGCGGCCGGCTGCAGCAGCCGCCGTCGCCGTGTCCTTGTACGGCGTGATGAGGTGCGGAGTACGTCCGGCGGAGGGGGTGGCACCACGGCGCGGCATCGGCGTCAGCAGGTCGTACGGGTGCGGCGCGCGGCGGCCGGCGGCGTTCTCCTTGTCCGGACCGGAGCCGGTCCTGTCGGTGGGCGCCAGGTCGCCGCCGCTCGGGTATCGGCCCAGGCGCCTGCCGGCAGGGAGAGGAGTGAGGCGCGGCCTCACGCCGAGCAACCGCACCAGGCGGGGCGCCTGGTGCGGTTGCTTGTACCATACCGACTCAGGCACGCTGCTGCATTCGTCACATGCGCCTGGCTCAAGATACATAGAATGAGATATTCATTACAAACGAAGTGCGAGGGAATGGACGATTCTACGGCAAAATGATGTAACGTAATGCATCGCTCCAACACAAAGACCATTGGCGATATCATCCCATTCTTCGATACAACTTTGAGGCGGTCACGCGTTCGCGTCCCGTGACAATTACCTACCACGCGAAGCTTCGGTTTCCACCCATCCAGCGCGGGCACGTGCATCAATGCATCATTAGCAGCAATCGCAAAGTGCAAGAGGTAATTGCACAAGAAACTATTCATAAAAAAGCCATCGCACCTAACCAATTAAAAAATGCCTTCCACCCCCAACGCCTGACACCGCTGCCATTGCCATTGCCACTGTCACCATTGCCACTGAGGCTGGTGGCGAGCGGCGGGCTACGGCCGGGACGGCTGGCGGCTGACCTGCCGGCGGCCAGGATGGCCGACACGGTGCTGGCCGTGGCCGAGCCCAGCGACGGCGTGGCCTCGTCCGGCTCGTCCTCGTCGTCGCTCTGGCCGTCCTGGATCGAGCTGACCGGCACCCGCTGCGCCTGCAGCGTCAGACTGCAACGAGAGATCAGAGCGGCCAGGTGAGGGCGGGCGGGGGCGGGCGGCAGCGGACGGCGGCAGCGGGGGCGCCGGCCACTGGTCCACGGCAGCGAGAGGAGTGTGTGCCCACACTGAGAACGCGCCATGTGCCAGTGCACAGTCCACACAGAGGTATGGGCTGACCACAAGGAGAGCTCTCTGGGCGCAGCAGCAAATCGTCCTGGACATAATACAGTAGATATGGAAAAACTACATTTCAAAAGTCATGGACATACCAGAATACGCAACAACTTTTAGGCAATGACTAGTACAGCTGCTGTCACTGCTACTCACCATCGTCCAAGGCTCTTCCTCGAGCTGAAGGGGCCACGTGACAATGGGCCAGTGTGGGAGTGCCCCGCCTCCTCTGGCTCAGACTCCATCATTCAGCGACTGTGAAAACATCAAGTCCCTCCAATTGGTAAATCATGTATTGAGAGCTGACTAGGGCAGACATGGGTTCTGTGTAATAAGTTCTCCTTAAGGTCTTCTTGCTAGAGAACATATTAAGGATGTGGGAACAGGACATAATGAGTTATGTAACCACAATCCATGGGATTCTGTCACTGAGTGATTTAAAACTCAGTTGCTAAAATTTTCTGGCTGATGTTTTGCTGAACAGAACAGATAGCCACAGCATTTGTGGTTGCTAGGGGTGGGATATGATTGATCTGACTCTAACAACTACCCATTCCAAAGTCAGTTTTCAGTACATAAGTGCACATGGTTAAAAAAGTAACCACTGACAAAATAATCTGGTGTCTTCATGTTTTTTCAAACATGCAGTAGCAAGTAACAAAACAAGCTTTCTGCCTATTCTTATATTGACATGAGGATACCAAAATCTTGTGTGGGTAAAAACACAAAAATATCAAAAGTGAATAAACTTGGTACACATGGTTCCACTAGGAAAGTACCATACATCATAATATTGTGTGGCTTAAAGCTCATCCATAATGGTCAGTCAGCAGTTTGTCAAATCAGATTCAAACATGACAACCATGTTATCTTATGGCATCATGCATCAACATAATATTGTAGCACACATTTGGAGCATGACATAATAGGAAACAAACAACCAAACCATCTGCATGTCAAGAACAGCCAACTCATCTGACATAATTCAAGCCTATCAGCAGGTCTAGAAGAACTAATTCATCTAGCATATTTCAAATATACCCAGGCTCAAAACAGGCTGACCTTTCAGCCATCTCTTGTACCGTTGGCAGGATTTCTGGCAAGGCAACACCAAAGGTTGTAAATATCATATGAACTTTGAACAGCATCTTAGCTCTGCATGACAGCATAGTTTTCCAAGATCATTTCAAGCAGTTGAGTGGGCCGACCCAAGCAAAGCCTATTACAATTATCCCCATATTTATGCTAAATGCTGCTTCTCCTCAAATTCAGAACATTGCCCTCTTAAAGCTCAGGATATGGGGGTTTAATTTAGAGGCTGGATCTAGCATAACAAAAAGTGAGCTGCACTCATCTTCCACAGCTGTCCCTATTGCCAATTTGCCAAACTCGAACCAATGCGCCGTACATTTAGCTCATTCCCCTGAGCTGAGAAAAATATCCATACTCCCTTAGCTAGCACTTAAATGTGATGCGGTCATGCAAGCCAATAAGGTACGAACAATGTCCTCATGCGGAAATAAGGGGGAAACGTACACTTCTAACCTGGCCGCGGATATAATGTTTTGATTTTCCAGCAATGTGCATCAAAACTATTTTCAAATATGCCGCTTTCGCCGCATCATGTTTTTTGAAAGCCAAGTTGTTTATTAAATGGAATAGATGTCAACGAAAAATATATCAGTTTTTGTCATGAGAGTTTTAATCAGAAATTTTTGAGAAGTTTTTTATCAATAGATAAGAAATCAGTGAGTAGATTGAACGTAACAATAGTAATTTCTTATCCTCGCTATGTGGCGTTACGGTTTCCACGTCGGCCACACTCCAATGACAGAACATGCTACCAAACAGTAGGAAAAATGACGCTGAATTCTTCCCTCTAAGCAGAACAAAATTCACGTTGATGTTCTGCAAATTGTGTTGCCTAAAAAAGAACATTGATCTTTTAAAACCATTATTTATCTTATTTTTAAGCTAATTTTTACATCATAGCTTTGTTTCACCTGTTAAACTCATCCGAGCATTCACACTTTTCCTAACGTAACGGATTTCCTGGTCAACACACCAAAATTGTATCAGTGCGTGATAAATGCTTCACTTTCCCCGGCTTCAAGTCTCCGCCGAGAGGTCCTTTCCCGTGGCTCCTTCGATATTCTGCGGTAGGGATAAGTCGGCGTTTTATTTTTTCATTTAGGGTGAGACCTAGACTTAAACGGAAAGGTTAGTCATGATTATGAGTTTGGGCGAGTTGAAATTTTCGTTTTTTGTTGCTCTGCTGCGAGATTTTACGACCACGTTTTGACGTTGAGATGTGTTCATATTGCGTGCAGCTCACACTGACTTTAAGCGTTGTACCCATGTATGTTTTGAATTACTACTGCCAGCCACCTAAAATACCAATTTCTTGGCTAGTTCCCGTTTGTTGAGAAGTGTGTGGAATGGCTGTTGAACTCCTTATATGAATTATTATTTTCCAGCTCCCTTCCCTCTTCTGCATGTTTTAATGCATGATATTGGTAGGTGCTTAACGTGTTAGATTTTACTCTAAATGCAGGACTATTGAACTTGTTCTTGGTCAAGTCTTCTCCATATGAATATGTAAAAAATGTGCTGACAATGTGGTCTGCCTTATCAGCATTTATGATGTTAAGGTAACCAATTGCTTGACTGGCTGATACTGGGATAAGTGTGGTATAAGTGACCTAAAGCAATAGTTCATCATACCCGTCAAGCAGGCTGTCCCTTATATAGGCAAACTTACTTACCCCATTCCTAAGGGACTGTATGGTGCTGACTGCAGATCTTATCAGAACATGAATTTGTCCATATGTTGCATAAATACAATGCAGATGTATACAGTGGATGCACAGCTGTATGTGCAACTGGTATTTTTGCTTCTGAGATACTGCTTACTGACCAAAATATGTCAGAGGTGGTATCAGTAATGGAATTTTTATAACATAGGTAACAGATATGTCATAAGGACAGTTATATTGTCAGGAGATAAAGAAAATATAGTATAATGAAACATATGATAACATAACTACATTTTCCTCCTGAAATACCTTTTTGAAAAGTCATAACATAATGTTGTGTGGCACACATCCTACATTTTCCACCTTGAAAACATTGAAATAAGCATGAGATGTGATGGAACTTAGATTACTTGTAACTGTTGACATGCTTATTAGGGCAGAATAATGCTGTTTACAAAACAAGCTTTATAAAAATGCCCCTCAGTGCAGCATAGTTTGACAGTTTCAAGGAAAGTTTTTATGACTTCAAAGCTCCTTGCTAAAATTGCTATTTTTGCAATTATTTTAGAGGCCAGGCCAGCTTGCTTGTTCTTCCCTGTGATGCAAGGTGGTATTGGTGCCATATGCATGCCTGATCATGTTTTGAACAGTTTGGCACTTTCTTGTGGCATTATTACCCATGTGGCCATGCTTTTTTACTTGCATTTGCATTTTGGGATGCAGGCTGTTACAATGCTATTCCATTCCCAATCTCTTGCCCATCATAATAAGGAAGACTATCCAAATGCCTGTATTCTGTGTTACAACTAATGATTTGTGCAGAAGATGTGCAGATGTGGGTGTAGCAGATGTAGTAGTACATACATGCATGGAAGTGTAAGCCACATCTACACACATGTCTGTCCATGCCTAGCCATAGTCAAGGCTCTGGTTAGGTCTATGTATCTTCACATAGGCACATCTGAATCATTGCCTTTGGCTGGAAGTATTTGCCTGATACATGCCAATATGCAGTGCTGAGAAGCCCCTGCTATGGCTTGGCCACCCACAGGCAATGGTTTAGGCCTTTGCATTGGTGTAATACAAATTGGTATGGTAAGAACATATGCGCAATAGTTTGCTTCCAAAAGTCTGTGAGCAGATGTTTGGTGCAAAATTTTTTTAGAAGATGTTTGCATTGATGAAATTTTGTCAGGTCAAATTTTGTAGGAAAAAATTATATCTCTTTTGCCTCAAAATGTCCGTCCGGGTGGCTCAGTTGGTTAGAGCGCCTGCATTCCGACCCACTCATCCGTCCGGATGGGTCGCTTTAGGGCGCTCGCTATTTGCCCTTGGCAGGTATGGCCTGCAGCCGGTGGCAGCGGTCGCGCTAAAGGTCAGTTGACGTCAGAGGGCAGGACGGACTGTGCCAAGCATTGCGGCACATAAAGCTTTCGCCACTAAATTCTGCCGTTGCCTGGAACTGCGCGATCAGATGGTGGGGGTCAGGGCTCACACAACAAGCACTGCTTAGCATGAGCGCTGATCCCAGAAATCCATCCACTCAAAAGATTCGGACCAAATTTATCTAAAAAATGTCTGCAAAACTGGGAACAGTTCATTATCTTTAACTTCAACAGCACGTGCAAATTTGGGAGATACTGGTAAAAGTTGTTTGACAGCCCAGGTTGTTCTAAAGCTGGTGTTTTCTGTCCACAAAAGTCCCACAACTAGCCAATGAATACGTCAAGCAGTTGATGCACCCCAAAGCCCAAATAACCAACTAAGCAATGGATCTGTGAAATGGCTTCTTTCACCCCAGTCATTGTCATGATGAATGGGAAATACATTCCAGTTTTACATACACTTAAGGTGGGACACAGGCCTTTGTGTAAACTTTAAGAAAAATGTTGTAAAATGTGCTCACTGTTCTCAACATGTCCTGTTCTTAAAGCGACCAGGCATCATTGGCTAGTTTCATGAACTGTGGATGCCCTTTTCAGATCATGCATAAGTGGTTGTGTTTCCTTGGCTTGTTGGCCCTGTCAGCACCTGGAACTGGTGATGTCACAGCAGAAGATCAGTTTAAAGTGGAGGAGGACAATGTTGCAAGGATACTTGTTTCTAAGCTGGTAAGCTTCTACTTTATATTCTAACACAGTTTCACATAAATGTAATTTGAACTTTGACATCAGGATGAGATTGTTAAATGTGTGCATATGCGTACTTTGATTTAACACAATGTCTTTTACAGCTGTATGATATTTTCATGTGGCTTGATACTTTGTATTTTCCAGTAGTGACTATGTGTAGACATTGACAGATTTACAGGTGAATCTCACCTGCATAATATGTTCACTGCCTTCGAGCAAGCATATCCCAGCCTTTGTGCTATCAGTTTGGTGCAATTTGTCATCACATCTATTAATGCAGCTGAACTTGTTTAAAGACACATGCTCCCAGTCTTACAGAGATACATCATCCATCAACAACTGACCTCCACTCCATGCACACAGATCCTAAACAAGTACCTGGTGGAGGGCATGGACGTGGTGGTGCGGTACGCCCTGTACAACGTCGGCTCGGCGGCGGCGTTGAACGTGCAGGTCGAAGACGCCAGCTTTGGACCGCTCGACTTCACCACTGTCGCCGGCCAGTCGCACTTCGTGCTGGACCGGCTGGCGCCGGGCGCCAACGCCTCGCACACGCTGGTGGTGCGACCGCTTAAGTACGGCTACTTCAACTTCACGGCCGCCCAGGTGTCCTACCTGGCCAGCGAGACGGCCACGGAGGTGGGTCCGGGGAGAGAACGCACGCCCAGGTGTCCTACCTGGCCAGCGAGCTGGCCATGGAGATGGGTCGGGGAGAGAGGGCACACCTTTGGTGCTGCATGATTAAACACTGATTGGTTATTTCGCTTCATGTCACTAGACTGTAGTTACCAAGTGCATGATAATTGTGTTCATTGCTCTGGACTGTATCGACTGTGAATGCACTGAGACGCCGGGCGACCTCGAGTCCCGTCTGACCTGACGCTAGCTGACCCGGCGCTTCACTGTCATCACCGCTCGTGCCGACTGTGCTGACGACGAGCCGTGATGAGTGATCCGATGAGCCGTGCCGATGGCGCGCTGCTGAGCTGGCGGTGGCCAGCAGCGGCCCCGGCCTCTGCCGCTCGCGCCGTGCCGTGCTGACGTGGCGCGCGACCGACCGCTCCCTCCCCTGCCCGACAGCCGACGATCGGCTTCACCAGCGAGCCAGGAGAGGGCGGCATCGTGTCGTTCCGCGACTACGACAAGAAGTTCTCGCCGCACCTGGTGCGTGGCGCCGCCTGGCGACTAGCGCGCCCTCCGGCGCCCGGCTGGTGCTGGCCACGGGCGAAGCGGGGAGGCAGTCGCCGTGTGCGATGATAGCGACCTCTGAATCACTGTATTTGGTTGAAAGTATTGGTCTGAGAAGGCCAATGTGCTGTGCTGGGACGCCCTTGCTGCGGCTTTGCCGCCCAGAGACAATGGTTCAGGCCTCTACCTTGACTCGTTAGTTGGGACCAATGGCATCTCAATAGTGATGGCTATTGGCAGACACTGCAATTAGTTTATTCCGAATACCTGGAGATTTCACTTCGCACCACTATCCCGCCAGCAAACACTGTCGACCTGCCCTGACGGTTTTTTGTCAAAAGTACGCGCGGTAAGGTGCTTACGCGTAGAATACGTACGCATTTTCTCGCAAGAAAATGTACGTAAGGCATTTAGTTCAGCATGGCCAGAGAACGTGCGCAAAAGCCCGCAAACAAATGTTTGTGTGGTGTTAAGTGTTCATGCAAAATGTTTGCATCAACAAAGTTCGTCAGGACAGCATTGTGTGTGTGTTTTAGTAAATGTACTAACTGAATAATCCTTGAGCAACATAGGCGTGGGAACGGGGGTCCGTGGGTTCACCCGCAGTTTCCGAGGCTGGCGAACATAAAGCCTAAGGCGATCCATGCAGAAAATGGACTTCGGGATGGTGGATGAATGGTATCGTTCCTGAACAGGTCATTTATTTTTCATTGCTAACTTTTGGTGTTACCAATTTGATACCCTGGGTACCTAATCCTGACGAAATTAAGTCATGCGGACTTTATCTGACGGGCGATTGTCATACGTACTTTTGGCCGCAACGCAGCCGTGACGGTCTAGCTGGTGTACCTCATCCCTGAGACGTGGCGTCGTCTGTTGCAGCTCGACTGGATCGTGTTCGCCGTCATGACGCTGCCCTCGCTTGGCATCCCGTTCATGCTCTGGTATTCGTCCAAGTCCAAGTACGACACCGTTCTACGGGAAAAGCGAGCTGACGCCATCAAGAAGCGCGAGTAGGGTGTCACCTAGCGGGTGGTGGGAGAACTTTAAGTCTGAGTGAACGCCGCTGTGTGACACTGGTGGTTTCCTGGTGCGTCGGCTTGCGAAGCCTCCGTGAGTGGTGGTCATGTTGCTCAGACTGAACGCGGGTGGTGTTTAGAAAACTTTCCTGTTGCCAGTTTTGAACACCAGTCGTATGCAACATGGTTCAATTGGATGCGACAAGAATGCAAGCGCGGTTTTGTTACTTTGACTTGGCCGGGTGGGGTTTAATATAATGAAATGGAACTGAAGCTCTGAAGTTTGTTCATGTCCGTATGTCTTAAGTTGAAGCCATGGCCTTTCATCGCGGTTTGGTGACAACTATCACTCGAATGTGGTGGCTGGCCTCGATCCCAACTGAAATCCGCGTAGTATTACCTGGTGCCGCTGCGCCGGCACGTGTGCAATGCGATAGTGTAGAAGTGCCTTCTGCTGGCTCGCATTTCAGTTAAAATTCACCCCTCCTCATTTTGTGTATGCCTCGCATGTGTTCGTTTTCGTTCGAAATGGCAACCGCTGTTGTTTGCAAAGTAAATTATACTCTCCTTTATCTGGATTTATGGCAGAGATCAGACAGTCAAGGTAGCAGACAAGTACTGAAGAATGTAACGGGGCACTCTAATGTACCGCTAAAACTGCGGTTGCATTAGCCTCATGCTTTGTAGCCTTGGCACGCTTTGGGGAAAGTCCATGTTACGACCTGTTGCTCAAGACTACAGAGGTTTGCCCGTAGCTGAGGAGAGCATCCGATGTGTTTGTGGGCGCAAATAGTTCGCAAAACAATGCCGCTGCTGTCGAAAAGCACCGCCGTCGCGGAAACCACATAATGGTCCTGCGGCCTGGCGCGTCCACCGCAAATGTCGACAGGCGAAAGCCTAAACTGTGCGTAACTTTACCATGAATGTTCGCACAATCGGTTCGCAAAAGTAGCAGTCCATTTGGGTAAACTGCCACTATAATCAAAGCAGCGTTTACTATTTGGTGGGCAAATAAATTTTGGGACCATTTTATTATTATATCGTGCCTATAATTTTTTGGTGCCAACACGGTATCGCATATCCGACAGAAATAGGGTTAATGATGTGCGCGGACCGGTTCCCTTTCATGTCTGTGCGCGGTGACATTGGACGCCAAGGCGCCCTCCAACCCGACGATCTCCGCGTCTTGGCTATCCGGCACCCACCGTTCCTGCATTTTCTGAGCCATTTTCAACGAAGTGTTAGAGCAATTATCGCTTTAGCCCTGCTGTTCAGAGTTTCTCACGCTCCTGCGGGGTCAAGGCAGGCGACTGGGTAAGGCGAGGTTTCGCTTGGTCGCATAAGGCACTGTCACCTAGCTATGTGCGAGATGTGACCCGACTGTCCAAGGTTAACTATCACTTAACTGTTTGGGATAAACTCAAGTGTGCCGAGGTCAAGTGTGCTGGTGACACATGTGAACATGTGTTGGACACGCTTAACACGTGGAAAAGGCTATACCGGGCTAGCCATTTGGGATGGAACTGTGCTTGTCACCTGTGATGTGATACATGACATTGGATTTCATCAGACTCAAAAAACGCCCTGTCCCCTTTTACATCAAACGTGCGGTGTGCCCGCAAGTGCGCGGTGGACACACCAGCGCAAGAGTTGGTGTCATTGGGGCTTTACGACGCACTCAACTGGTGCGGCTTTAAGGCGTCGCAAAACTCACCCTGACGGGGAAGGCGGACACCGCGGGACATCGAGCCTAAGAGCGCGTGGGTTGTGATGTTCCGGTTCTTAAAAGCACTGCACCGCCCACATTGATAATCGCAGATATTGTCGACCCAAATCCGTGGCCTCACCCGTATGGCGAGACATTTCCTGCGCGTCGAGGTTGGGGTTGACACTGTCGCGGCCTTCTGCCAAGGAGATCTGTGCCACTTTTTTCTTCGCTTGTTTTCGTCTTCGTTCCCAAAATTACGTTTTCAACTTTTCATATCCCTTGAGCGCACTCCTGTCCGCCATGGGCGAGAGACGTGCTAAAAGGAAGCGGGATAACTCAGGCACGGACTCGGACCCGGCCTGCGATATGAATTGCCCGTCGGATAACACCGACCATACGGCGATGACCCGCGCGCGCTGATTCTACCGTCTCCGTCACTGACCGCTGTGCGCCCGCACCTGTCGACTCGCTAGCTTCCGACACCCGCGTTTGGGTGTAGGAACGCCGAGTTCGCAGCCCGCAACCCTACTGACCCACGCTCGTCCACGGCCTCTGACTCCGCCTCTGCTGAGAGTTTGTCGTGACGCGCCGGCAGCTAGTGCTCTGAAAGCGTTCGGCCAAGGCAGGCCCCTAAGAAGAGCCTAGATCAACTTAGTTCCTACGTGGTAGTGCAACCCAGGAGTGAGAGGGTCTTGTTTCGCATAATCAGCGTCTTCTCGCCCTCGAAGCCACTTCTGGAGATCTGGGGCGCATCTGACCTTCAAATTGGACTTCAGGCTAGCGGCACGCTGATTATCAAAACTGAGACGCGAGCTCAGACAAAACGCTGATCCAGACCAAGGAATTCTGCGGTAAACGGGTAACCAATTCGTTTCATTTCGCCAGAAGCACCATCAGAAGCACTATTTTCACCCCTGAGCTCCGCCACATGAGTGAGGAGCTCTTGGCAGCAAGGGCGTAGGAGATTGTTGGTCCCGAGGGGACATTCGGGCCCCTTAGGACCGTTGATCAAGGCTAAAAGAGCTCATCGCGAGTCGCTTTCAGGGGCCGGAACCGCAGGCCTGGGCCCTCAAGTACTAGGATGAGGGCCCCTTGTGTTGATCAAGGCACCCTGAGGCAAGGAAGCCTCTATGTCCGACAAAAACCACCAACAGTCGGGGCGCCGTGGCCCATTTCCCATGCAAGGACGAGACCGGAACCTGTGATTTACATCGGTCGGGCCCCTGGGACAACGAGAGGCACGCTGTGTCGGTCAGGAGCCCACAGTGCCTAACAGGAAGTCCTGTGTTGGCACGAGGACCCGAGTCGGCGAAGGGCGCATCCAATAAACAGGGACGAGGACAGAACCCCGTCAGATGTCAGTGGGCCCCCTTATGCTGGACCATTAAAAGATCTTCTGAGAGTGGAATGATCAATCAGAACTTACGGTGAAAGAGTCTTCAGGAAGTCTAGTGGCCGCGTTAAGCCGCATCCGATCAAACTGCCGCAGCTGGGCCGCACCGTGAGAGCTATGAACGCGTCGGGTGCGGTCGGCATCGACGGTGCCCCTCTGAGAGCGGCGAAACGCTGTTTGGCTGTTTTTGCACTCCACTTGCTGCGACTCGTTGACACAACCATCGCGTCATGTGCGTTCTCAGAATCCTGGAAAGTGGCTGCTGTTGTGCCAATTTTCGGACCTGGTGACGCAAAGTTTCGTCGAACTTTCGGTCTATTTCCCTGCCGTCTCACATACCCAAAGTCACTGAAAGAGTAGCTTGTAACCAATCATCTCGGAACCTCACTGATAGCGGTATCATGTTCGGCCAACGGTATGGCTGCCACCGCTGCCATTCTGCGGCGGATACGGTACGCGACGCTGTCGACTAGGCATCGCACAATTTACACAGCGGTGACATCATCGATCACAGCAGCTGACCTGAGCAAAGCCTTCGACAGCGTCAACCACGGCGTCCTCCTTAACAAGCTGGTATGATATGAACTTGATCCCCGTAGTTCAAAAGCTGCCTCATCGCACGGAGTCAAGTGACCAGAGATGGTAGTGCGACCCCCCCCCCCCCCTCCCTGTCCGTCACCCACGGCGTACCACAGGGATCGACAGCCGGACCGATCCGGTTCAGTCGTCTGACAAACGGCTTGCCGTGCTACTCGCCCAACTGTCGAGTCATCATGTCCGCTAAAGACACCCAGAAACTGGGCCGAGCGAAGGCAGGTGACCGAAAGCTCACTGCTTTCCAGACGCAAATTGAGCATACTTCGGCGACCACGGAGAGCTGATCCCCCCGAACTCCCAAAATGAGCCCTAACAAACTGAGTTCATTCTTATTGGAAGAAGGCAAAATTTAAAAAGGGCGAGAGCTTTCATTCGGCTGTCGCCAGCGCCCGCATGTCACCCTCTCGCTCTGTTCGGCTGCTCGGTGTCGTCAACGACCCCGGTCTGTCCTGGGTTTCGTACATTGGTTAAGTGGTCAAGACGTGCAACGCCCTTTTAATATATCTTTTTCGCCGGCGGCACCACTTATCCCAGCACATGTTAAAACTTTTGACAGAAACCCACGTATTCCCGTGTGCTCTGCCTTGTTGCTGGGCATGGGGAAGCGCGGCCAAAAATCGACTGTACAAGATCCGGAAAGCGATGAGTGTTGCCGCCAGGGTTGTGACAGTGACACCGCGTCAGGACAGGATTGGTCCGGCACTCCAGGCTCTGAGATGGGACCGAGAAGAGCGGTTAGTCGAGGTGCGGGGCGTCATCAAAGTCTATAAGGGTTTTGACTACCAGAAGGAGCCCCCGCACTGCGTAGCATGCTCACCGCCAAGCCCTCGGTGTCCCACCGTGCCACTCGCTCCACGGAAGCAGGACGGCTGGAGCTGCCAAAACGCCGGCTGACATGCTCGCAGGGGGCTTTCGATACCGAGCGCCGTCCTCGTGGAATAGGCTGACATTAGGTGTACGTGAGTACCGCTCACTGTCCGCCTTCAAGCGTGCTGCGACGGACGTGAACAGCTGGGCGGAGATTTGCGATGCGGTGATCTTGTGGCTGGTGCACACTCATACCTGCATGCCTTTTTTGTATTTACATATTTGTAGTGTTTTTAGGTCTGTACCTTGTTTTTGGTTCCTGGCAGTATCGCATATTTGATGTTGTATTTAAATGATAGGCATAAAGCGATTAGCTTTCCTACATTGTGGTGACTTCATGTACTGGACGCAAATTCGAAAAAGACATCAGATGGCTGAGTTTTAGACCAAGAACATATACACATGCACATTCAATGACAAATGCACCCCAGTACTTCATGTACTGGACGCAAATTCGAATGCGACATTTGATGGCTGAGTTTTAGACCAAATACATACACACATGCATATTCAAAGATAAAATGGAAGGGCCCTGTGTCAATCAGGGACTCCAGTACCGAAGGGGGAGAGCTCTCTCCGCCCCGACCCCCGCTTCGCCAGAACGACAGCCAGAATGTACCCCAGACTGGGACAGAAGAGCCCTTAAGCCCCTGACCGAGAAAGTCTATGTACCCCTAGTGTTCTACCCATGAAGCCCCTTGCCCGGGG